GAGCTGCTGTAGGAAGTGCTTGGGCTGGCCAGAGGCAATGTGTGTATAAGGTGGTGGAAGCTAGTCCCCTGGGTCAGATCTGGCATCCCCTGCTGTGGCAGCACAAAGCAGCCAGTGTGGGGGAAGTCCGGGGTGTGGTAGAATTAAAATAGCAGCTCCTGCATCTGGTACAGGGGATGTGTCCAAGCAAAGAGGATGTGTCCAGGCTGTGCCTCCCCCAGCAATCTCCAGCTATTAGACTGGCATCTTGGGACCAAAGGCAGTCAGGTGCAAGTTAGAGAAGCCTTGATGCTATTCTAACTTATGCTGTGGGCCACTCCTGTCCTGGCTGGCCCAAGGCAGCTTGGAGACAGCCCAGGATTGGGGGCCTCCATGCTCCTTCACACTTAATAAACTCCCTGAGACCTGCTTATGCCCACTCTATAGATGTGCCAGAGTCTGAGTGGATGCAACCTATCCCAAGGCCCTGAGTGGCATGCCCCGTTGCTGGGAAGGCTGTCCCTGTCCCCAGAGCTCTGATTGGCTAAAGGATGTGCCATAGGGAGGAGCTGGCTGCCCCCACAAGGTTAAAGAGCTGACAGGAAATCCCACCGCCACTTCCTGCTGCCAGCTGGAGGATGGCTGGGATGCAGCTAGGGGTGAGACCATGTAGCAGGGGCATGTGCTGCTTCTGCTGCAGGGACACAGCAGGATCCAGTGGTGCCCAGAGAGCAGCCTGAGCGTGTGATGTCCCTGGCAGCGTGCACCAGGAGGTGCCTTAATCTGGGACCCGGGGCCAAAGCTGGAGGGGCAGTTGAGATTGTTTTCAACAGATGGAGTCAGAGCTCCTTTAAGCCTCTCGGGTGTATGTCGTACTCCCATTGACTCTTCTCTTCAATGGCATCCATGTTCTGTCCGTGCTAATAAAGGCACTGGGCTACATGTATGCACTGGAGGGATTCCTGGGCAAATTCCTGCCCCCGCCCCAAGTGTGTAGGAGTTTGGAATAACCTAGCGGACAAGGATGTTCCCATCATGGCTGGAAGAAGGTAGGAAAATGCAAATTATAGTATCCCCCACTCTACTTTAACTCTGTCTCCTTACACTGTATTCTGGCTTCTTGGAATAACACTACAGCACTGTTCTAGGGTTACCATTCGTCCGGATTTACCCGGACATGTCCT